TAGTATATGGATAGAGTGTGAAACTAATCCAGACGTGAATATGTGTTTGTGAGTGTGGGTTACTAGCAAATGTACCTGTTGTGGCCATTATGAGATTTGTGTGTATATACGATCCATGCGATGGAGGGATCCATTTTGCCTCTCTAGATAATGACATAAACGGTATCGCGTGATGAAATCTTAAAAATGTCATTTTGAGTGTATATGTGATCTCGTGTGTATGTGGTTATGTAGTTATATTTTGAGACTATGATTGATATTCCAGTGTATTTATGTTCTTTCAAGAGTGTGTGGATATACATTTGAGGATTGTATATGATATTTGAGAGAATTCAGAAATCTAATCAGAAACACGTGAAGTTGTGAAAATAATAAATGAATTTTGCATTGAAACATCACTATTGCATTTGTCTCATATTGTGTGTTTTTCATGAAATCTTATTTGGGTTGAAAGAATAGAAATACTTATTGAGTTGGTGAATCTCATTAAATTTCACCATGATATTTTTCAGAGGAAAAAAAAGAGATAGAACCGCTGCCAGATGAGTAAAACTTGTAAAAAAAGTTATTGTTTTGTATATTTTGTGCATATTCGAAAAATTTTCGTTTTCTTTCGTTAAATTCTAAATTTTGGTATTATATTATATATATATATATAATTACTGTATATATCACATGAGATGTTAGATTGTACGATAAATTTTGATATATTATATATATATTTTGGGAGTCAATTGCATCAAAATGACATGAACATGAATTGTATCTCATATCGAGTGTGGGGTGTTACATTTAATATACTTATTAATCACATTAAAGAAATTAATATAACTTGACTTAATCATATGTGGATCTTGTCGAACTCATGGTTTTAAATTTATCGGTTATTCAGAAAATTATTTTCTACTAGTAACTATTCTCACGTGCCAATTTATTAGATTAATTAGAGAACTATTTTTTGTATTTAACATTGTTTTGATTATTTAACATATCTAATTCATTATGAGAAAATGGAAAAAAATTGTATTATAAGTAAACATTAGCTATATTTCTAACCATAGTTATGTTAGACATTGATATACATTGAATTGTATCAATTTAGTTACTATGATCAATAAATATAATAAAAAAATTCTATAATTTTTTAACCAAAATGAAATTAAAATTTGGATTATAACAATAAATCTAGATATATTTCTAACCTACATAAATAATATTATATCACTAGTTGTTAAAAATATGTGAACAATTTGAAGAAAATGATAATTTCTATATAAAATTATAAAAATCAACGGATCCAAAATCTAACACTCTTAATTAATTTTAAATATTTTAAAATTAGTTTATAAATATGAATTTTAAATTTTTGAATTCTTTATTTAATGTATAAATTTTAATTTTTAATTTTATAAATTATTAATTAATGTAAAAATAAAAAAAATTAAATAGAAGATGAAATTGAAAATAATTTTAAGAAAAAATAGTGAAAATTTGAGTTCTCAAAGTATTTTTAAAAGAAAATTCAGAAACTGTGGGTCGAAATGTAATTTTAAAAAATTGTGCCACATAGGACAACTAGTCAGTAGTCTTGACGAATCGGAGCACGCCATGTGGCAAGGCACGCTGACACGGTGCCATGCGGAAAGCCACGCAGGCAATTCGCATGCCCGCGATTGGACGGTCGAGATTCATTCCCGCGCACACACGGACACCTAGATCTACTTCTTATTTAAATGCAATTGGACGGTCTAGATCAAATAGCAATGAACGGTACAGATTTAATCTCTATTTAATCGTAATTGGACAGTCCAGATCAAATGCGATGAACGGTCCAGATTAAAAGAGAACAAATATAAATAACCCTCTTTACACCAAACCCTAACCTTAGCTGCCAGACACCCTCGCTGGAGAAGAAGAGCCAACTGCCGGGAAGAAAGCCTCCCGTCGCCCGCCGCAGCCACTTCTGACTGCCAAAAGAGGTAAAAAATTTTACCTTTGCTCGGAATTCAATTTTTAACACCCTCATGGCCAAATTGGAGCAAAAAGATCAACGGATTGGCGGAAAACCGCGGGCAAAATCCGGTGGCACTGCCACGGAAAATTATAAAAATCACCTCCGATGAGACCCTTATCGATTCTCATTCTGCATAATTCTTCCACCATTGTAATCACCGTTTCCTTCTCTACAGGTTGACTGAAGCAAAATACCCAATTGCGAACATGAGCTGGCGGTGCCGCCGCACTGGAGAAACCTGCCGCCGGTGAGTTTCGGTTTTTTGACTTTTATCAGTCAACCGAGATCCCTTGACATATTTTCTCGCAGAGATTGGTACAAAACCTGTCGAATTCAACCAAAAATTGCTAAAAAGGGCTGAGCCGAGGTAAATCGTCGCCGTGGGCGATGGTGCCATCGCCAGACCACGGTGGAGGCGCTATGCCGAAATTTTGAAATTGGCCAAAAAGGGATCCTAACACTGATTTTGGATTTTTTGGGATATTTATAGGTACTTGAAGTGCGTTTTAATCCCTGAACAAAAATTTAGAGAACTTGGGGACCGCCAGTAGGCGCAGTCAATAAGTTTAGCACTTCGAATATCAATTTGAGTAAGAATCTCTCACCTTATTCTCTGTTATAGAATTGAAGTACAATTAATAATAATAATACGGTATTTTAGACAGTTTAGAAATATCCATAATTAATTATAGGTCACTAATGGAGTCAGAACTAGAAATTATTCACTGTTGATTCTGTTGATTTATTCTACAGTTTGAATGCATGATAATACCTGATTAATTGATCTTATAGTTTAAATGTATATATTGCTTGCTTTATGTGATTATGGTTGAATTGAGAAGCTATAAATTAAAGGAAGTCAGAAAACTGTTTGATTAAGCGAATGGATGAAACAACAGCCTTATTGGATATCCTGGGAGATGGTGGACGGACCGCGTACATAGGGAACCCCATCGTGAATGTTGCCTCATACCGGACAGATATTGTCGTTTAGGTAATTTGACACTCATACCGGAGGGGGTATGAGGACAGCCTGTAACACCCAACATTTATTTTATTTTATTTTTATTTTTTTTATAAATATAATTATTTATTAATTGAATTGAATTGAATTGAATTTATTTTAATTTGATTTAATGAAAATAATAATAATAATAATAATAATAATAATAATAATAAAAAGGGTGAAAAATTAGTTAAGGATTTAACTAAAAATAATTTTGGGAAAAAATGGGTGAAAATTTGAGTTTTAGGGGTATTTTTGAAAGAAAAATCAGAAACCGGAGGTCAAAACATAATTTAAAAAAATTGCGCCATGTCAGATGCCCGGTCAGCAGCCCCGACCAACCAGGACGTGTCAGGTTGAAAACACGCACGGATAGCCCAGATTGCATCGCGACGGAGGTCCAGATTTGATCGCGCACGGATGATCCATATTGAATTGCGATGAACGGTCCAGATTCACTCCCTATTTAATCGCGATCAGACGGTTCAGATTAGAAACGATGGACGACCCAAATCAAAAGTGGATGGGTATAAATAACCCCATTCGCACCCAAACTCTAACCTTAGCCGCCAGAGCCCCTTGCCGTAGAAGACAACCCATCCGTCAAGGAGCCGACCGCCGCCGCCCGCCGTCGCACCGGAGCAATTTCTGACCGTCAAACGGTGTAAAAATTTCCCCTATTGCACGAAATTAAACCCACCCATGGCCAAATAGGAGTGAAAGAACTGGTTGATTGGCCGAAAAATACCGCCGAAGCTCGTCGGCGTCGCCTGGGGTGTTTAAAAATGCCTCCGATGAGGCCTTTTCCGATGTGATTTTTCACTG